TGTCTATTTAGGCCAAAATCCCGCGTCTCCTTCCGAGTTTTCCTGTCCCTACTATTCCGTCTATCCGTGGCTCGTCGATTGTTTGAAAATCAACTTTGATAGCGGTTAATCAATCTTGATTCTTCAGGTCGACACCGCGGTATCCCGCTTCCTCCTCTTTCACCTTATAATCCAAAAAAACCGAACGGAAAACGAGACAGGCGCCGGGTTCTTCGTGGCCACCAGCGTAAAAGAAGCTATAAATATTATTATTATTAATTACCTACATAAATTATAATAAAATATATTTTGTATTAATGTAGTCACGAATTAATACGGCAAACGCAGTGGTCTGTGAAGACTGAATCTAAGTAAGAGAAACGCAAATTAGTCCTGTGCGAATTTCATCGACGTCTGTTAAGAACAATAAAATGATCAGGTAACGGAACGTTTACAATTGTGTTTTTATTTCTATCCCCGGACTAGAGTGTGTTTCGTTGGTGGGTTGTATTTTATCACTTCGCCGCTTTATTTCTTTTATTGTTAAGTGTTATTATTTTAATTTAATTTTTATTCTTATTTCTCTCACCCGTATCTATCTTTGAAAAATCGTTTCACCTTTCTTCTTTATGAAAGCTATGGCCACAACTTGGAGTACGTTATCACACAAGGAACGCTCGTGCTCGCGTATGCGATTGAATTACCCTCAGACGTTGATGAAACTCACATTGTCATTCTGGAAAACAATATATTCCGATGCAGAGCCCGATCTCGTCGGATTGTTCCTCAAACTGAATCAATCGCACGAGTTCGATTGTACACAAGCGGCACACAAACGAAAAGTCAAGTCTATAGCGAATGAGCGATACGAACGTCGGAATGAACATATAATCGTAGCCGCTAGTTCGCTCGCAAGGATAAACGGTAAACGTACAAGTTCCGGCCAGGCTTTTTGCTGTTGCACCCTTGCGCAATCTGCAACACGCAAAGGCAGCTTAATTCGTAGAACATACGTGTGTGCATGTGTGCGTGTGCGTGTGTGCGTGTGTGTGCGTGTGTGTGTGTGTGTGTGTGTGTGTGTGTGTGTGTGTGTGTGTGTGTGTGTGTGTGTGTGTGT